ACTCTGCTGACCTCTGGTCTTTATCTGGATATAACAGCAATAGTTTATCATTGTTTTGTTTTTCCTTTTTTCCCCAAAATGCAAAATTGAAGCAGCTATGCATTGTCTCTGATAAATAGGGTTGGTTGAAGCATATTCACTTGGATTAACATATTGAGAGCTTCTAGGGCAGTGTTTCTCAACCTTGGCAACTTGAAGATGTGTGGACTTCAACTCCCAGAATTGAAGGCTGGCTGGGGAATTTTGGGAGTTGAAATCCACACATCTTCAAGCTGCCAAGGTTGAGAAACACTGCCCTAGAAGCTCTCAATATGTTAATCCAAGTGAATATGCTTCAACCAACCCTATTTATCAGAGACAATGCATAGCTGCTTCAATTTTGCATTTTGGGGAAAAAAGGAAAAACAAAACAATGATAAACTATTGCTGTTATATCCAGATAAAGACCAGAGGTCAGCAGAGTGATACAAGAAATCCAAACTTTGCTGCCATCTAATGATTGCCCATTTTTTTTTCCAACCTGAATATTAAGCTTCCTTTCCCACCCAAACTGATCATAAGTTTAGCGTTTGGGAAATGTTGCTGATTAAATTTAAGAGCAGTGGAGTTGGTTCAGTTCATATATCACACTAAGCCAGAATTTATTTTAACTGAGGAATGACTCACAGTTGCCTGAATCACACAATACAGTAAACCATAAAGCATGGTTTATCAACCCTAGTGGCTGGGTATGTTCTTTCTGAGTTAAACCAAAAAGTCATGGTAGGAGTTAGTGTGATGAGTAAACCCAGCAGAACCATTGTAATGTTCAGCTTTCCACTGATTTTTCTTAAATTTAACAGAAACCTAGTCTTACAGGGAGACCCAGTTTGGTGTAGTGGTCAAGGCACCAGACTACAAACCAGGAGACCGTGAGTTCTAGTCCCATCTTAGGCACGAAGCCGGCTGGGTGACCTTGGGCCAGTCACTCTCTCTCAGCCCTGGGAAGGAGGCAATGGCAAACCACTTCCGAAATCTTGCCAGGAAAACTTCAGGGATTTGTCCAGGCAGTCTGACTCAAAGGCACAAAATAAAAGTCTCATTGGGTGCCCAAATAGGAGTAATTGTAGACCTGACTTACTACATAGCAAGGTAACACCCAGTTTGCCCCACCCTCACAGGTCTGGGCTTATGTGTTCAGTGAAACAGAAGAAATGCATCACATCCCCCTGTGCCAAAAGAGGACCCCCGAGTTTTGTTTTCTGCATGAAATGTGCATATGCAAATCCATAAGCGTACACATGCCAGTTTCAGTGTGTATGTGTATAGGGTTATACATGGCATAGGGCCTGGTTACTTGAGGGAACTCCTGTTTCTTGTAGTATCTGCTTGGCTGATCTGATCTGGCCAGAAGGGTTCCCTCAAGCAAACAATGCCCTGTATCGGGGGCCCGGAAGCATGCCTTCTCTGAAGCAGGGTCAGCCCTTTGAGGTAGTCCAGACAGGAAACCAAAACCATGAGCACTAACACAACCTTTCTTGTGGAGTTACAGTAACAGAATTTTGCAAGTCTGAAAGCACTTCCCCATTCCCCTACCTTTATTTTCCAGAGAACTAGGGAGGGTCCCTTCTGAGACACTTTCTCCACCTCCATCAGGACTCAGATTTCTCTTATCAGACGTTGTCTACACTGTGGCTCTTCCTTCTGCCTCCCATGGTTATTCTCACATCCCATTACAAGCAGTGCCTGCCTTCTGGAATGAGGCTCCCCCTGAGATTCAAACAGTCCAAATGCTATTGGTGCTCTGAACGGCCCTGAAGACCTGACTTTTCATCCAGGTCTTTGGTGGGCACGACTGAAGCCCGCTTTTCTTCTTTTTCTTTGTTCCCATCTGGGTTTTTTTCTCTGCCATCTTTGCTCTTTTTTGTTTGGTGTTTTGTTTTAATGCTTTTTAACAATTTGTAAACCACCCAGAGTCCCAGGAGTCAGGTGGCATATACATTTAATAAATTATTATGATCATGTGCAAATTGGTATAGAAATACATCCCTATCAAGGATTGTAACTGAGTGTCCTAGTTACATGGTCACTTAATTTCAAGTGCTCAATGTTGATGATCAACTTCAAGTTTCAGACTCCTCTCTCTTATGATGATGGCTTTATCTTGATACCAGCTTTTGTCCTTGGTCCTGAGTGACATGGGGTCAAAAATATCAAGTTGGCAGCTACAACACTGTGAACAAAGCTCTCTCCCTTTTTTTATATGTGTCACACTAGGAAGGATACGGTGGAGTTCTGAGAAACCATGTAAAGAAATAAGCAGAGATTGGGGGGGGGAATCTAAATGAAAAAGAAATGCAGTACACCAGCCTTTCCCAAGATGCTGCTTTCCTGATGAGTTGGGACTGCAGGTTCCAGAATTCTCAGCCAGCATGGGACTTGTAGTCTAAATTCATTCGGTTTGCGAAGGATGCTATATATTAAAACCAAAATTATTTTCCCTAGTTTACCAAAAAGACAGAGGGAGCAGGTTCAGGAAAATTTTGGGATTTGTAGAGGTAGATTAAATAGAACAGGGGCAAGGTAAAATGAATGAGCCCAATGTTCCTTTGCAGGGAGGGATCAAGAAAGGCAAGATGGTAGCCAAGACCACATGACCAAAATCCTGCCCCTTTTTAATGCACTGCGATGTGCATAAACAAGAGGTGGGTTTTTGATCACATGATTCCTGCCTCCACCTTGATTTTTTTTTTTATCCCTCCCCACACACATGGATGCCCCTGGTCTGACTCTTCTTTCATGTCGTCCCTTCCATCTGGCTGAGAGAGGCTGCTTCAAAGTGCAGAGAGCTTCACCCACCAGCACCCTTTCTCCCAGTGTTAGAATAACTACAAAACAATTCAATTATAATTAAATTCTCTGTTGTTGTAAACATTTATTAGCAATTTCTAAAATATTTACAAAAGATATCCATTTAAAAATAATCAGATTTTAACCAAAAAAAACACTCTGTAGTATTAAATAAACATTTCAACTCTATATGTACACACTCAAGTCTTGGGCCAGAGATTTGGGTCCCCCCTCTGCTGCCACCCAACCCCCAATCAACACTGTCTTTTTCCACTACTTGAAGATCTGTTATGCCTCCTCCCTCTTGTTTAAGCTGCCTGTTCTTAGACCCAAGCCCTATGAGTCTCGTCTTGTTGTGTCTCCGCCAGTTACAAAAGGCCAGCCCACACAACTGGGGTTGCACACCGCAAACAGCTGTAACTCAACAAACCACAGTGATTTGGTTACACAACCAGTTGTGGCTAAGCCAGAAAACGGTAGCTAAAGAAAACATGGCTTATCAAAACTGGTGAATCTGTCTTGGCTCCCGTTATCTCACAGAGCAAAAGGCAGCTGCCTGGAAATTCTCATCCATATAAATAATCTACCCCCTTCCCATCAGGATGCTCAAGTGGTGCTAAATCAGGCCATTTCCACACCCCCGTTGCTTTCACTTCCCAGTCCTCAGAAGCAATTTGTCGGTGATTGCTTCCACCAACACAAGAACAAGAAGTAAAAGTCACTGCCCTGATCCAAACTCTGCTGATCCTAGAGCAGTAATTTTCAATCTCGGCAACTTTAAGGTGTGTGGACTTCAGCTCCCAGAGAGGACCTTCTGGGAATTGGAATCCACACATCTTAAAGTTACCAAACACTGTCCTAGAGCAACAAATATCCCCTTACTGAACTTCCATTCCATGCAAAAAGGGGAAAAAGTACAGAGGGGAAAACTGGCAAGCCACAAGTTGTAGTTTCTTGTCGAAGGGAGAAAATGAAAAAACTGAGAGGGAGCTACAAAGTTATCAAAGTCAACATTCCCTTTGATGGACCTGGAACTCAGGGACTGGGAGGAAGAGGGTAGTAAGAATTCCTTCCAGTGGGAAAAAAGAGTGACAGCTTCTCAATAACAAACAAACAAAGAACCCAACAGTGATTTCAGCTACAGGTGGTCCTCAGGTTATGACCACTCATTCAGTGACCTTTCAAATTTGTGATGCTGCTGAATGAGGGAGACGTGTCCTCGGAGTTCTGGCCATGGCAGCATCCTGTAGTCATGTGATTGCAATTTCCGACATTCCCTGCTGGCTTCCCACAAGCAAAGTCAATGAGGAAACCGGCAGGAAGTCAGAAGTTGCAATCTCACGAGGCTCTTGCTTAACAACCTGCCTGGTCCTCACTTAACAATGGGACTGCCAGGACTGCTGTCGCTAAGCTCTGCAGTCACATGATGTTGCACTTTACAACAGCGTTGCTTAGCGATGGCAGTTCAGGTCCCAATTGCTGTCATAACCCAAGGAATACCTGTACACCAGGGATGAAATGGAAATAAATTAGCTCAGCCCTCCAACACCGTCAACACTACAAAAATGTGAAGGACTGGAGCTGCTTTCAAACTGCTACAGAATCCTTGTGTGGAAGTGCCCTAGAGAGTCACACCAACCCAGAGAGTTCATATAAATGCCAAGGTGCATATCTGCCTCTGGTTTTCTTCCAGAGTGTTTGCTGGATCTAAGGAAAAGAGGTGAGTATTTTCTCCCTGAGGGGCTGATGCTTCTTCTTACCAACTTTCTTTTATATTCTTTCCAACCTAAGAGATCTAAGGAAAAGAGGTGAGTATTTTCTCCCTGAGGGGCTGATGCTTCTTCTTACCAACTTTCTTTTATATTCTTTCCAACCTAAGAGATCTAAGGAAAAGAGGTGAGTATTTTCTCCCTGAGGGGCTGATGCTTCTTCTTACCAACTTTCTTTTATATTCTTTCCAACCTAAGAGAATGTTGGAAACAAATTACTTAAAGAAGCTCAGGACTCTGTCCAGATTATTTTCTGAAAACTGAACAGAACAGGACCAAATTTGGTGTGAGGGAAGAAGCTGGCAAAAGAAAGACCAAGTTCAAAAATGGGTTGGATCTGGGCAGTGGCTCAGACTGTGGCTGGCTCTTCCATTCTACGCCCCCACTCCCTCTTCCTTCCTGGTCATATGAGTGGAACTGCGATTAAGAGGTTGGAAAGAATTCCAGAACCTATGCTCTGCCCAATTTCCCTACCTTGTTTATTCCTAAAACCATTTTATAGCTGAAGGCAGCTGGCCAGGAACATATAAAGTTTTACATGGGAAATTTTTATTTTTATTTTAATATATATATATATATATGTAATCATTCTCTCCAACAAAGCAATACACATTTCCAAGTCAATTGGCTTCAGAAGATGGTTTTAGGATTTAAGTGGTTTTTAAGTATACCACTGTACATACTTGGGGAATTTCTTCGTTTTTAATCAAGATTGGCCATCAGTTTTGGTTTTGGCTTGTTTGATTTGGTCTGCTCCAAAGATCATTCATGTTGATGAAATGGTAAGGCATGGAATGGTGAGAGAGTAAGAGAAACATTGGATCGACTCCTGTACAATTGTAGGGATACACCACGAATATTTTAAGGAGGGGTCATTACGCCATCAAGGCCAGGGTCAAAAATAACCTAGCAGCACTGCTGCTGTCTCACCCCTTTTTCATTCCCACCAAGGATCCCTGAAAGAGTTGACGAGAGCACTGGTTCCCAAACCATCCAGGAAAGATCAATCCAGGAACCCCAGCCTGATCCATCTCTGTTGGACCCCATTTCCCCACCCCACCAAGGAAAACCCACTAGTCCTGGTCCACAAACCTAAAGTGCAGATCCCCCCACCCAAGAGAGGACCTCATTGCCTTCAGACCCACCCTCCTTGCTTAGTGCAAAGCAACTGGCAGGTTCTCTCATACAGCTAAGCTGCCAAATGCCCAAAAAGGTTTCAGGAAAGCCAAGAATGGAAGCATGTCATTGGAGGCTATCCTGGCCAGGGAGTCCTGGGGAGGGCTCTAGGAAGAAGGCGACGGGCCCAGCAGTGAGGTCCCAAACTGGTACGTGAGCTTCTTCTTCACCTTACGGATCTCGCCTGTTTTGCCATAGTTGCGCAGAGCTCGGGCCATTTTTTGATAGGTCATTTTCTTGCGGTTGCCCTTCTGCTGGCCCCAGCGGTGTGCCAGGAGCTCCTTGTGCTTTGAAGAGAACTGGAAGATGCCTGCATCACGCTGCACCCACCACACACATTCCTTCATGTCACCACCTTCCAGGAGCTCTAGCAAGAACTGGTAGAGGCGGAGTTTCCGGCGAGAGCCTGCAGAGGAGACCAAACACCTGGATGATTGGACATGTCAGATGCCCCCCACCAGCTGCTGCTTGGAGGAAAGTGCCCCCAGGAGGGAACTAAATTGCCATGGCTGCAGCATCTCTTGTTCTCAAGGTCTAAAAGGCCTAAAAGAGAGGACTTTTCAGCATGTCATGAGGATTAAAAATCTCTGAAACAAATGTAACATTTATCTACATGAATCCGTGATGGTGAATTAAACTAAGAACTAAAATCTCTTCCTGGATTTCCCCCAAGAGCTAGGATATCACAGGGAAGAAGTAACACTTTTTCTTGTGGGGGTGATGATCAGAATCCTGACATTTTGTCATTCGGCTCTAAGAGACTTCTCACAAGCAATGGAGATTCACACTGATGCTGACTTTGTTATCCAGGTGCACACCTGCCCTTAGCCTCCCTCCAGTTGTTCAAAAGGTAGCAACAGCCACTCGGGGCTTGGAATAGACAGGGTTCTAGCATTGTATCACAGGGCTTCTGCCACCCAACTAGTCATGCAAAGCAGCTATTGCTTCTTTTATATACAGTGATACCTCGGGATACGAACGCCTCTGCTTGCGAATTTTTCGGGTTACG